CGATAAGGCTCTATACCATTTCATCCGGTTATCAATGCGCAATTTTATTTAATAATTTTCGTGGCAGCTTCTGGCTAGCGAACAGATAACTCGACACAAACCTTGCTTATCTGCGACAAAACATCTGTCAATACAAACAGCGCTAATGACAGAGGTATTTATCGAATTTTAGTCTCCCGTTACACAACCACTCGATTAGGATGCACTCTTTTTTTCTTTTTTTTTTCTTTTTCTTTTTTCTTTTTCTCTTCTTCTCTCATTTGGCTGATGATGTGTGAATGATGGTTACAGCAGACGGACTAAGGATCGTTTCTATTGATTGGCGATATTAAGCGAAAGTTATTTCCAAACCGCGAAATGAAATGCTTAATTGTGTTTTCTTTAGCTCTTCATTAAGCGATAAAGCTGTTGGTGTTCTTCTTTCAGTTCGCTAATTGTGGGTCGTGCCGAGAAGCATCATACTCGGGGACCTTATAATGAAGCGTGATAACTAAATAGCGATATAACTGTCGTTCTCGCTGCAAAATGCTTTCTAGATGCCTACTCCTATTTTTCTCGTTGTGGACGGGGAGAGAGAGAGAGAAAGAGAGAAGAGAGAGAGAGAGCGTACGTTCCTGCTTGATGAAGTCAGCCCGCTGCAGCAGATTAAAACAAACTTGCTGAATACCGCCAACACGTTGCGATGGGAATTTTCACCCAATCCGACGTCTTATCGGCTTATCTGTGCAATGGGAGGACTTCCTCGCCGTTATTAAGTAGGAGAACCGGGAACTACAGCTTAAGCGGATAGTCCGCATCTCCCTTCATTACGTCGAATATGTTTAAATTTTCGTGATTTACCTGTTAACGGCCAAATTTGTATCGAAGGAGGAAAAGATAGAGAAGGGAGAAAATAATAATAATATATATATATATATATATATAAATTGCTACTTGATCCGATACAAAATGGATATTAAAAAAGTTTAAGGTGTAGACTTTCGCCCGGTTTTCTATCCCGAAACCTTCCTGTTAATTTTCTTGTGCCGCTTCGTCTCTTCTTAAGTCGACGTCTTTCTTAGAGTAACTAGATTGTCGCCTCTTGAAGTGACAATCCAGTTACTTTTCTTTTTTTGCCAAACTTCATTTCACTTTCTGCCAGTAAGTACGAAGTGCTGGAGTACATTGCAGCTGCCGATGGACACAATGACGATGAAACATGTCACTGAAGTTGTTTGGTAAAAAGACAACTTTCGGTTTGAGAATGTGACTGACGTCTTTTTTTTTACACGTTTTATATATATATATAAATAAAAATACATCTTAGATACTATAAAAACTAAAATGTATAATAAAATTTTGTTTTTATAAATAAGCATTGTGCGCGATTTATTTATCTGCTGAGGGATCTTCTAATTCTTGTAATGAATCGAAATCACCTTCGAAATTTTTAAATAATAAATAATTATTTAAAATTTATACGCTATAATTAACAGAATTTATAAGTTTTAATTTAACGTATGCCAATTATTTTAAGATTTATGGAAGAAGAATTGGTTCGTATAAAATCGATAATATCGACGTTTTTCCCGTCGGAACCTTCCTTATTTTAGAGATTCACGTAATCTAGTGCATAATATAAAATAATTTCGTGGTTCTAAAGACACGAAACATCTACAAATGAAGTAGAAAAATGTTTTAAAAATCACAGGAACCATTTGATTATAAAGTTATTTATACATTATAAATCTCTATATAGGCTCTAGATAAATATGAAATGAAATTTGTATAGATTAAGAGCAAAATTTAAAAATAATTAAAATTACAATAAAATTAATTTTCGAGTGTGAGACTTATTATAAATGAAAAAATATCGATATACATTTTTTCATTTATAATAAAATCTCGGTGTGTAAAGGTTGTAATTCATTGACATTTCGTTGACACAATTTTAAGTTTTTCTTGTTATTTTCCAACCGAAATTCTATTGTTTTTAGCAAATTCTCATAAGCAGAAAAACAGACATCAAGTTCATGTTATAAAAAGTAACAAATTGTCAGTTTTTTAAACTAGAAATAGAATAAATGGAGTACATATACAAGATAAGTAATTCATAAGCCTATAGATTATAAAATATTCTTATTGAATATGAGAGATAAAGAATAAAGATAACTTAAAATAGCTGAGATTTTATATACTTTTATATTTAGAACGTAACATTTCTAAGATTTACATGCCGTTATTTGTACTGTATAAGAGTTGTATTCTCTTTATGTATTTGTAATACTTATATATTATGAACCGCAGCAACTGTGAATTAGTTTACTTTCATACGACAGCTTCCAGGTTGATACCAAGCTTCGAAAGTGTGGTAATAAACGGAAGAGCATTAATACATTCACACGGATACATTAAATTCTTAAGACTGTGGACATTGACGAAATTAGAGAAGGACTTTTTCGCACTCGAGACGTCAAACAATCGGAGCAATGTTAAGAGCCATAATGTGGAAACTTGACCAGATTACGCATATCAGCGATCATTACCAGATATATTAATTTAATGGAAAGAATCCGAGAGATTAGACAGAAGTGATGGATGCGGCTCGCAAGAAAGACCAGAGCAGAGAAAATCGTTAATTACCACTTATAAATTAACCACAGGCGGACGGACGGGAGATGGCGCCGAAAAAAAAGATGACGCCGACAGATTATCTGCTTGACAGAGTGAAGACAAGGCTGGACTTTGTCTGAATGTTGCTGATTTCGAAGTCAAATTAATCACAGCCATTGGTTAGCACGCTTTTTAATTAATGCCGTCGGTAAATTGTCGATCAATTCGACTGCTAGACATTTATAACCGATTCTGCAACTCCCAAATTATTTGCCATTAGTTAAAGATGTCCAGACTTGTTTTTACTCCGTTCGGTAAGGTGAAAATCGTGATGGATGAAACTAATAAAATAATTAAGCAATCGCATCTGTGGTTTTGCTCTGATGAATTTTAGTTGTGTGACAAAAGGAATAATTTCGACGCTACTCCTCAATTTTTGAAGTTTACAGGACGAAAAATTGTTTTCTGTTATAAATATTGACATAATCGTTCCGTTGAGTTTATTTAATAGCAAAAAATTAGTGGGTGGACGCGTGTCGACACGTGACGTGGAATGTCCTCTCACAAATTTGTTTTCTCTTGATACTGATGAAGTGGACAACACGCGCGTGAGATGACAATGAGGTAGAAATCAATGGCTGGAAAATTGAACGTTTCGTGTAGGCGTGACAAGTCACGTCATCGTATTTGCTACCGAACTTCTTCCTGTTAGCTTATAAGAAGGACTCCAACTTAATTTTCTGAAACTAATCCGTGGCTCGAAATTTGGATGGTATAGTAGTTACTGTTACAATCTCGACACTGGGAACAATAGTTGGCATCCTAATCTTCCTTCTCGTCACGTCTGAGTGGAGTGCGGCTTGTTAAGCCTACATTTCCTGTGGTGAGATCCTCGACATGTGTACTCGGACTTGGAACAAACACTCGTGTGGTTTGTACAAGGATAGTCGTCATCGCATATAACTCTAGTACACTGAATCATACAGCGAAGCACGTACCCTTCCATATAATAATCGTTACATGATGACTGCATGAATCGTTTTTCGATGCGTTTTAAAATTTCGTCTTACGTAAAAATCCTCGTTAAATGAAACATTTCTGAAACAACGTGCTTATAAATGATGTTAACCAGATAATTTCTCGTTCTGAACACAGATTAAAATACGAAGTTTTGTTTTCCTTTTTACAAAACTGACCGATTTACGGACAGAGATATATTTTCTCGGAAGATTTCAAAGAGAGCTGCTGCTTAATGATTCTCACTGTAAAAACAACAGATTTTAGTATAATTACACTTTGTTTTATGCCGCTCTAATGAATTACTTTACTTATGGTTGAAGACTAATGAATAGTTTTAGTTAAAACTTTGCCAATTTACAGACGTGACTAATCGTCCAATTTCGTTAGCACTGCCACTGCTAAGAACAAAGCCCAACTGTTCCGAAACTTGGAAGAGAGTAGAAAAACTGGAGAGTAGAAGGTGGTCGTCATCCCGCCTCCATCCATATGTATTACATCTGTATCGGCCACACCATCCTAGCCTCGTCTCCATTATAATAGGCTGCAATTTCCGGCCCGATCCCCTCCGTCGATGTTTTGTTGGAAGCTGATTGAATTCCCACAGCGGCCGCTTTTAATTGATCGTGCACGTTACTCTCACTGGGTGTGTGTGTGCGTGTGTGTGTGTTTGTGACAAGAAATGTCTACCGAATGAAGCTTGGATAAAATGCATGGATGAGTAAAAGAAAGAAACCAGCAAAAAGTGTTGCAGATTTCAATTAAAAAGTTACTCTTTAGCTACTTTTTTTAGCCACGTTATCGATCCTTCTCCTGTTTTGTTTAGACATTCAACACTTTTTTTTTAATATCTCTCCGGCTAAATCTACTGAGATTGGATGAGTTAAACATCCACGCGGCTAACTAACTACAAAAGTTAAATCTCACTCGAAAGTTTTCACGGAGCAAAAGTTAACATAATGTTACTTGAGAGACCGACTAACGAGCCGGACAGGTCATTGTGAAAGGTTGTCTGGACCAGGTTAGTGGAGTTAACATGGAGAACCGGACTAATTACTCTCAACCGTTACTGAGTAATTGTCAGTGAGAATTAAGGTTAGATCAATAGTATCTGCGGCCACTAATTAAGTGCTCGGCGAGGAACAAACCTATTGCTGTATGGGCATACCTGCAACAGTAGATGGCTGATGAATGAGTTTTGAAACTTTAAAATTGTTTAAGCGTAATAAACAAATGAGGAAATAAATATGTGATTAGTCTGTCGGAAGTTCTGTAGATTCAAAGTTTGAACAAGTTAGTTTAGTTTCTATCTTTCACTAACTGTAATGATTATACGATTAATTAATAAGAAATAAACTTAAGTTATAATGATATTTATCTTTATTTATCATTTGCCTATAGGTAACTTACAGTTTATATGTATACAGGACCTATACATTCGTAGACAGAAGATCGGAATTCTTATACCTGTAAAATAAAATGCGACGTATTATATCAATAGCATTTTCAATAAGGTTGCAGTGAATAAATTTATACATTAAAAGGCGTAATTCAGTTACGTGTAAGGTTATCCGTCCTTTATAAATATTCTTTTAGAGAGACTTCGGCAATGAAACAATTCTGTAAACATTATCCACGCCTTATTTGTACTTCTTGGATAAATCTGCTTGTTTACTGAATGTACAATACATCTAGACAATTGCAATGTGTCTTTTGTGCAATCGCGGGTGATAATTAGTAAAACTGTAAAAGGGTGGATGTAACTACGAATCGAGCCTGTTATGTAACTTTGCATAACAAACCATTAAGACTTATCAAAGGAACAATATCTGTTTCAAACCGGTGCGAAACAGATATTTTAGAAAGCCGAAGCGAATCTTAGGAAATCTTTTAGAGATTATTTTTATGCAAAATTTACAACTGGGTTTTGAGTGATGTAGTAGAAGTTTTACGAAAATAAATTGAAAGGGAGAAAGAAGGAAGAAAAGTAGAGCGTATCGTTCGGGACTTTGTAAGTACTGATGATGAATCGCATACTTGACGATGCTTGATCTCCAAACTCTTGTACTGTATTCAAACCTATCAGAGTGGCTATTGTAGACAGAATCAGATCTACGAGAGATTCTGGCAGACATCGATGTCCCGGGACAGAAATATTATTGAACAATCATCTCCAATATTATGGAGAAGGTGTATTTACACGAGATGGGCGATGGAGCGAAAAGATTGCCACCATCATACTAGTCTGGGGTTCATAAAAACAGGTCATTTGTCGAACGCCCAACGTCATTTTTAACATGGTCGTTTGGCAGGCGAGTAAGAAAAAATGTCTGACAAGCAATCTGCTCTTGATGGCAGTCATTAACTCTTGAGACGTGTTGCCAGAATCTGGCCAGTAGAGCAACGCCTCCCTCATATCGCTCGGCAATAAAAACTTAAATAAATTGAATAGTTTTTGGCTAATTATGATGTAATTTTCTCCTTTATTGGATGATAATAACCATCAATTCGATCAAATTTTTATACAGAAATTTTCTTTACAAAAGGGAAAAAACTGCTCGCCTGTATCGCTAGAAAAAGTAGCAAAACGGTGATCATCAAATGCTTCTTCCTGTCGACTTTGTCGAAAAAAGAGTGATGGAATTGTTTAAGTCATTCCCTCCTCTAAACGTTAATGTATTTCCATTCTTTAACTCTATTTATTATTTAAAGGCTATAATAATAGCTTTCGCTAAGTTGTAGAAGTTTTTATGTTCCCGTCTAACTATATTTATATTAAAACGAAGCGCGCAACTTTCATCTCCGTCTTGCATCTAAGTATTCAATAGGCCTATATTGTACCTTAGTTGTTTACTCTCATTTAGACCAAAATATTTCATCACTTGAACCTAACTTAGAATTGTTTGGCCGGCCTAAAAGAATACACCAGCAAATAGACTGATTAGGAATTGCTTGTCTTTGAAACATACCAAAACCGTCATTAAGACCACTTTGTTCTAAGCCGGTTATTTATAGAAGAGAGTTGAATGTCCAACTAATGAAGCCATAGAAGAAGATCCAGCACGATATCATGCTATCGACCTTCTCTGCGGGAAATTGTATCGCCAACAACCTTTGTCATTCGGAGCGGCAAATCATTTCCTGCATGACAATCTCGAGTCACATTCGAAATATCAGTCAATTCACTGGCCACACTACTACTTTACTTAAAGAAACGCGACACGTCTTCTCGGCGCTCTTACCAGATCTTTAAGGATAAAATTCATATCTTAAAGAATAGAATGCAAAAGATAGGCCTACTGCAAAATTTGATTCATTTCCGGCAACCAGAGCGCTAGTTTGTTAAATAATCATAATTTGTTTAAAAACATGATTTAAAATTGTTTTGTTAATAAAAAAAACGGCACATTAGGATTTTAATCATTAAAACTGCAGAGATTATTAGCGGATCCGTGATAAAGAAGCTGGATGTTTCAATCGGGGCCAACCCCGTCTCTTTAGAATGGTAGCGAAGACCGCTGGGTACTAATAGGTTTGGGTCTCGGGTATTTGTCACTAATGGCGGATTCTGATTGAAAGTGGAAGTGCAGGCAATGTTTAGTGGAGATATATTTCCTCTAATGGCTCCTTCAGCCACTTTTTTCCCCTTCATTGTTTGTAGCATTGCCGCTATTGGACCGTTTACAAATGAGTTCGGCCTAGACTCGGATTCAAAGTCCTTTGTCCTAAATGTAATTCACAAGTCCAACTTAATCTTCAACACACAAGTTTTCTGCTGGACCAAACTTTCGTCCTAGAATCATTTTTCAAAATAAATATATGTTCCAACAGTCTGGAAGTTTTCGTCGTTTTATTTTCTGTTTTGCAGGTTTAATTATTCGTGAAGTCTCATCATTTCCTTGATTTATATCCCTAATTTTCTAATAATAAATAGACTTATTAGTTTTCTTTCATTTTAAAACTATCGAGAATTGATTTTGGTAAGATTTATCTATCATCAAACCGATCGGATAAAACTAATTATTTTCGGAGATTTAAGCTTATTCGCGCTGAAATTTATTAAGATGTTTGAATGTGTGATATCTTCGGGCTTTCGGGCTAGTTTTGACTTAAACTTTTGTGTTTTACATGTATATTAATGTATAATGTCTAATGTTAGGTTAAAAAAAGTCAGTTATTAGCGCAACGTGTCTTTTATCCTTTGACACAAACCGTGAGAGATTAAGTGCTTAGAATCACGACCCACAGTACAAGTGAGAAGATAACAGTAGTATATGGGTCTGTCCCTAGGGCTTGGCATCACTCCCGATCTGATTGGTTGCCTGACCACTATCTGCACAACAGCTGGGAGAAATCAGGAAGTGTTAAAGACTGCTGCACATTTTAACAAGTTTATTTTCAGTTTAGCTGGAAGCTACTTTGGCATTTCCACAGCCATAACGACCAAGGTGGTTGTCGGTGGGAAAGTCTGGACCCCGAGGCTGCTGACCAGAATTAGGGATGGTCGTTAGCGGGTGAAAAGCTGAAATAATTGATGTTTTATCGCCAGCCAATCGTAGAACACATAAAGTTGCCTAGCTTGTTAGATTCTAACACAATAACTTACAGTCGCTACCTTCGATCCTTCTCGGTTGGAAAAGATCTGTAAATTGGAAAGTCCCCGTTTATATAGAAGATTTGAACCTCTTCATTTTAACAACTGTATGATTGATCTAGGAGATGTATTGTTAATGAAGATCGTTTTCGAGTTTTAACGCGTTACGGTTACATTTTAAAATGTCACTAGCGGGCTTCAACGGAGGGAGACAATTTACCGCCTCCTAGACGCCTGAGATGCCAGTTTCTCCTGTAAAATACAGGCTTATGCAGTGAAGCAAGCAATATTTTATCTCAACTATTTGAAAAAAAATGAAAATTATTCTAATTTATTTTATTAAATAATTAAATCTAACACTAAAGAGTATTTTTAAATTAAATTCGTTAGGTAGCTTTTTGTTCATACGTTTTTTTTTTTTTACCAATTTTCTCGCTTTAATATATAATATTTTCAAATTATTCAGCTTTATAAGTAAGTTAAACGTTTAAACGTTTAAATTTAACAATTTAAACACCATGAGTTCAATAGACTAGATGTTTTCTGACTGTACAGAAGATGCCAATATGGTGGGGTCAAGCTCAGTATGTCTCCCTCCAATGAGCCACATAAAAGGTATCTAGAACCATGGCGACCATTCTGTTCATAACGACATCAATTCATCACGACATATTAGACATTATCCTCGACTGTAGACTTCTGTGATTTACGAACATCTCTAACGGCCTCTTGCTTCTGATTGGTCAATAAGGTGCGACGTAGAAGGGACAGCTGTCTGGATGGTTGTTTCTTCATTGTTGACATTCGTTTGATAGTTCCACACGTAATGGGGCATGACTGCATGACACTCTTTGCTTTTCTTCTTCTAACCATGCATTGGAATGACATTATTACTGCTTTGAAATATTTTTCCTTTCTGGTTAAAAGTAATTGTTGCTTCAGAAGATAACAACCGATGCAGTGCTGAGTTTTTCTTAATTTTTAAAGACCAAAGCATTTTTATCGTAATGCTACACAACAATTGTTTAAAATTTGTCGTATAATATTGTTTTGTTTTTAATAAAGTTTAATTAAATCGTATGTAATGCTTAATATCATTACAGTCGAATCTCCGGAACTAAGTTATTTAAAATTTACGAACGAACTTAAAAATAAAATTTACAGATTCTTGCAAATCTGTAAAATTTATTTTAATTGTATTATATAAAAATAATTAAAGCTATCTTAATGTATTAGAAATTCGATAATGGTATGATTACATATAAAGAGAAAAGTATGCCTCAATAAACAGACGCATAAAGTTTAGGAAGGGGCATTTTGGAAGATGTAGCGATAAGCATGCATGTTCCAGGCAAATCTTGCAGATAGAAGCGATAGATCACGTTTCTAATCCCATTTCTAGTCATTGAGTCTACAATGGATTGCAGAACATCTGTTCCTATTTTGCTTTAGTTGATTTTTCCATTTTTCCCTCTTTCTTTGAGTGGACTTGATGTATGGATCAACTTTGAATCATTCTCGAATTTCTTGTATGCATTAAAGTTTTATTTTTCACACTTTAAATATTGTTTGTATAATATACTCATATTTTCTGTCATTGAATGAAACATGTAAAGTATAAAATAAAAATATAATCTTAAAAAATATGTGTATTGTAATTTTAATAATTTCATTTAATTCTTACCTGATATAACTTATTTGAATTCTATCTGTAGACTTGTTGCTGTTGAAGCTAAATGAATGGGAAAAAAATAAAATATACCTGTTTAATAAAAAAAATTCAAAGATAAATATTATTCTTAATTATTTTTATGTGATTTAAACTATAAAAAGTATAGACTATATTAAGCGGCACGTAAATTTTGTAAGATGATTTTATTTAAACCATTAACTGTAATAATTTAATTGAGATAGTGAATTCTTAATTAAAAGAAATTACTCTTCTATTACATTGAATTTGAATTTAAACCTTAATTAGAATTAAATAATTAAAAAAAGGATTAATTAAGAGAAATATTTACACAATTAATGAAAAAAATTCTCTCAAGAAAAACGATTCAAGAAATATTATTGAAAAATAGACAAAGTTATATAAATTATTTTATTATATCTTTTATATAAATTACAACACGCGTTACAAACATAAATATTATACTACACGACTTATATAATAAAGAAAAATTAAAGTTCACTTAGTTTAATGGAAAGAAAATTTTCATAGCTATAACCTACATCGATATAAATGCAAAATATTCAAAAACATAACTTTATAAATGCTAAATATTTAATAATTTAACTTATTTATATTTATATAAATATAAAATATAAATATAANATGAGGCAGACTAGACATTTCAATGTTAACGAGTTCGGTTAATACAAATTCCGTTAATACAAAGTACGGATTATTAAGTTTCTTCGACTTTTTACTATTTTAATAATATTCAAATACTTAAAAAGTATTTACTCATTTTAATAATTAGGCCATAGTTTATGACGCTGAATTTTATACGTTTTATCTCGTAAAATAAAAATCAAATGAGATTTTCCAAAAATAGAATTTCATCGTTCACTTTTATTAATTATAACTTTTATTCATAATTTAAAGGGGGGTTTCGGTTTATAACTAAATTCTTGAGATAATTTTGTCGCTATTTTCTTATTTTATTCTCTGAAATTAAATTTCATTGTACAAATTGCCGGCTGCTTTCTTATTAATATAATTTATCAGATTATCTGAGTATAATGCGCAACATTTATTAAGAAAGAAGCATGAATAAATGCTGTATACCGTAATCTTTAAAATCACAGGCCTGAGTAATTGTAGGCCTAAAAATGATCTTCCGAAATTGATAATTTTAAATATGAATCTAATAAATTGTATATAAAAACTAATAAATTTTAATAACGAGAAATTTATAAATGAAGAAGTTATTTGAGGCCTGTAAAATAATGTAAGAGAAGCGAGCAAAACAATGTATTTAACAACCCCTGTACTGCACATCATGAAAGTATTCGTATTAATTCATAAAGCGAAATAGATTTTCAATAGTAAATAATCTGATACGCTCAATTAGAAGTAAAAGATTTGAATATAATGGACTTAACAAAAGGTTTAAACAAATGGTGTGTCGCTAAGCTTTTGGAATTTCTCATCAGAACAAAATGTCGGTAGGTATTTATGAATTTAAACTGTCAGAAAAATTTAACATTTAAAAAAAAAATATGCTTCATTTCTAAATTCGAGAGAAAAATAAAATAAAGCGATGAGAAATATTTACAAGTCCGCCATGTTAAATCTTAAAGAAATAAAGATGAATAAACGACACTTAAATTCGTCGCAACGATTCATTAAATACCGTATGATTTAAAAAATCGTGACAAATTAGAGTATTAAAAATATGAAATATTAAACTCTGTTAATAAACAAAACTGGATTTTCGATTTTCAATCTCATTTCTTGGTTGGTTCGTCCGTTTTCATATTTATAAAATTAATTTATTCTCTCTCATCACCACTTTTTAAACTGTGTACATATTTAATTTATCTTAAGATAGCTTCTCGCTTATTTAAAAAAAAAAAAAAAAATTCGTGTAGTAATTTAAACCAAAATTTCGACGGGAACAGCTGCAATAAGTTTTTCTGATATTTTTACATCTTACAAGTAAAGTTTCGTCTGCAAATCTATGCGATTAAGAAAGCTTCCAATTGGTTAATTATAGATTAATACGCTTCACCAAATAAATATGTCGGGCGAGTAAAGAACCAATGAGATTTCTGTTTCTCTATTGAATTCGGAAAAGACCATTTGGAGTTGTAAGTTCTTCGAAAGGTTCTTTCTCTATATAATAGTTTGTCGTTACGAAATATTTTCATTAGAAACATATTATTAAATGGGATTTGGACTGACTTCATTCGGAGGAGGAGGAAGGAAGAGGGGAAAAAAATGAATAAAAATCTGCAGACAAGGAATTGCTCCGGCTAAAAGGAATCAAAAGAAAACGAGCACGGAAAGCAGAAATATTATATCATTGCTGTTAATGGTTAGTGACATATGGATGCTGACGAGTTTTATGTTTCCCCTTTGCAAAGAAATTTTAAAACAAACTCCAACACAGCGGGTTAATGGCGCGTGCAGGGAATGAAGACGTCATCGCTGTGTGCGGCACGTGCCGCTGGAGGGCCCTTTCATCATCCAATAGCGTGCCAGCTAGTTCCAACTTTGTCCAAAGTTTGCCATTCGGAGGAGCGGGACAGACATGAAAGCCAGTCACAGAAGAAAAAAAAAGGAAAAAAACTGGAGGCCAGAATTCATCAGCTGCAGGAATGCGCGACTGATACGGCAAATAAGGGGAACAGAGCGGCCAACTTAATGCTCCGGCGTCGATAAAGCTGCGAGCCCGGGGGGCAAGATGTATTGAAAGCCCGCGGCTGGCTGGCCCAGTATTACGTCGCCATTTGTAGGGCTGGAGCTTCCATTTGGACGAGGGACGGACTGAATACGGTCGAGGGGTGGAGAAGGGGGAGCAGCCGGGAACTGATATGAACTGTAGGAGCTCTTGATTTCAATCGTTAGGCCCGGGCGACGCTGCCGTCACACAATAGAGAAGTGGAGAGCAAGAAAAGGGAGGGAGAGAAACGAAAGAGAATTTCGGTGGATGGCTGAAGAGCGCATCTTCACAAATTTCATACGCAGCCCAAGGCTTTATCTTCGCTATCGTGCCAGGTCCTCGTAATTGACAAAATGAACACACTTCAAAGCGTAGCTTATAGGCTGTCCCGAAATCACGTTGAGTCGCTGTATAGCGCGTGTGGTAGTTGAACAGAGCGGCCTCTATTGTGAAGCTCCACTACTCAGATCTATACCGGCTGGCGTTGAATGGTAGAGGCGGTGAAAAGAATTTCGGGCTACTATTATTTGCCCTTTCAAAAATATTGTGCAGATTTTCAAAAGCCGACTCTCCTTATCAGGTTGCATATTGTATTGTCTCACAGGAGAGTCATGTCCCGCTCTGCTCCCTAGAAAATAAAAGCGGCGACCAACTCCGACGGTGCCCAGTTCTCCGTCGCCTGTCCTCCAGGCCGCCAGAAGCAGCTTTATAGCTGGCCCGAGCAGTGCATCATGGGATAGCAGGCCCCCAGGTAGGTGTGTCCACTCGCAGGCCTGACATCCTAGGTTAGTTTGGTATTGTTGTTTTCGGCAAGTTGCGAAATATGTTCTTCGCGCGTGCCGCTGCCTCCTTTACCCCGATTGCGCTGACCCGCAGCTTCCGCCCATCCTTAGCCCTTTGGGACCGGCGCCCTCGACTTTGGCAGCCCGCATCATTTATTGAAATTTTTTTTTCAGTATAAATCACAGAGCGAGCCCTCATAACTTTACCAGCAGCGCGATTTTCAAAATTTTACATCTTGCTCTAGTAGGATGCGAACTTTTCCAAACTTTTAGAACTTGGAATTTTTTCTTTTTTTTTTTTTTGTTAGTTGATTGGTGTGTGTTTTTGTATTGTGACTCTCTTATTTACCTCTGCCGTCGATTACAAATAGATGCAGGTACCTGAATTTTAGATTTAGAGCATTGGTGGAGACATTGTGCAGATCGAATAGTAAAAACGTTCGACTCGCATGTTGCAAATCCCATCCCTTTTGTGCTTTTGGGATTTTTATAAGTTTATGAGGAGAGACCGGTCATGTGCCTTATCCATTCTTGATGTTTTTGCATTTGTATTGTAAAATATGCGGTAAAGATTTAGAAATAGTCCTTAAATGTATGTAATAGTAGAAGTAAGTAGGTACTACTGTATACGCATAGGGCCTATCAGAATCAACGGATTTCGGAGAGATTTCTTCGCTTCTACATGCGGAGAATACTAAAAATAGGAAGGTTGTTTGATCTGAAATTTTGCATCGATCCAACAGCTGCAGCAGGTTATTACTAAGCTTCATTCTTTTCTCTGTTATAATAACGCAATCAATCAGAAAGTCGTTTAGAAGATTAAAGTAGAACGGAATGAAAGTATTTAGCCGGGCCGCGATGGGGATATTTTTGCTCCTCTTATCTTTTGCGTTTTTAGCGATAATTTTGGCTTTTGCTTTTAGGAAATAGGCCTTTTCTGTACTTAAACAACAAAAATGTCAGCTTAATTCTTAAACTGTAAAATATTCATATTTCCTAATTTTTCTTATAAGCTTCGATCTTTCAATGTTTTCTGTCATCAAATTCACACCTTTTTATTTATTTATTTATTTATTTTATTTTTATTTATTGATAGTTTGCTTTTATTGGGCTGTCATTGAGTATTATCTATGTAGGATCAAATATACTAATAATTTTTTGCTTTATGCAACTGATATAGATTTATTCCTTAATACACGAATAATTTACCTATATAAATCAAAAGATGTAAGCCTGTAGACAATTTTAAAGTGATTATATTTTGAAGTGTTGTATCGTATAAAAGTTATTAATATAAGTTAATCGTAACAGAAATCTAAATTGAAAAGTAAAAATGTTTATTTTGTTAAGCTTCTTCGAAATGTATTTTGAATAACAGAATATATTTTTAAAAATATGTAAGGATATTTAGTGATGAAAAGGTTCATATACAGTAGCTTAAGTTAGAATTTTCACTAGACTCTAACATATACAGTCAAACCTCGTTATTACGTTATCGGTTTATGCGAAGTCGGCGTTAATGTGAAGTAGATTTGCTGTCCTTGGATGAGGCAGACTAGACATTTCAATGTTAACGAGTTCGGTTAATACAAATTCCGTTAATACAAAGTACGGATTATTAAGTTTCTTCGACTTTGTGTTAACGAGATTTGATTGTATATAAAAAATTAGAAATTTTAGTTGTGTTTGTATGTAGCATGTAGTCTAACATATTACTATATTTCGTAAATGTTAAAAATTTCACTGTCTTAACTCATAAATCATAACTTTCTAATTGTAAGGTTGTAGACATATATAATTTTTGTTAATTGAGGAAGTTAATAATTTCGCATGTCTACAACTTTCTTCCAGACATATGAATTATATCCAAGGAAACATACAATAATTGACGTATGTTTCAACAACATTAAAAAAAACTGATCTAACTTTTTAAAACTCATTTTTGTAGGCCTAGGCCTACACACATTCAATAACAGTGACTTGTTTGCAAGTTTATATTTCTAGTTTTCTTTTTTTGTATTTTTCATACGCTTGATTTCCGTTATGGTCTGTCATCGCAGCTGTTATTTAATTTTTGTTGAAGAGTTTTGATGTGTTGTCATTATTTTCTTTGATCATACGCATCTTCCTTCATTATATGAACTGTAGGCCTATTGTTTTTTGAATAAGCTTAGTTTCCCTCTAATTTAGCAAGTACTTGATATACACAGGAAACAAAATTTTATATGAATTTGTAGCTTATATATGATAGGTCATGATTTTCAGAGTTGCATATAGAAACTTTATTTTCGGTAGTAAAATCGCATATAAACCTGTTCGTTTTTCATTTGCTAGGTGAAGAAATACTTAGCACAGTGCCTACCTATAAGTATAAATTTGTCGTTTTGTACAACAAACAGAAGTGAATTATCTAAAGATTTTTATAACTGAAAATTGGGGAAAGGAACTAAATGAATATAAAAGCTTTGAAATTTGAATGGCATTTATACTTAAATAGCCTATATATAATCTTATATAAATTTAAAAGAAAACTATACCTAGATCAAAAGGGCATTTTTAAAGTTACTAACATAAGAGCTAAAATTAAAACAATTTGTTTTGATTTTATCAAAATTTTAAAAATATTTATAGGATATAGTTTGTTACATTTTATCCGGTAAAATTAATAATCATCCTAAGCAAATCTTTAATATATGAAAAAATATCAGATTAAAGTTTGTCCGAATTATCAAAAGAGGAGAAAAACGGAAGACACAATGGACAAACGTGTCAAGACGAAGTCAAATAAATTAGAACACAATGTTAAGTGGGTAATTCCAGTGGTTGCACTTTAATTGTTTTTGACAATAATGCCGACAATGGACCCTACAGAATTAGCTACCTATTGTTGTAGTGAAGAAAGGTGTGTGTTTTCCTCGTGCTGGTAACTGTCTGGGGTTAATCACGTGGATGGCATCCACATTCGACTACTTTTTCCGAACTGTTTCCGACAAGCCGTAATAAATGATGCAAGGCCAACGGTTCTCCTGGGCCAGATGACCCGTTTCCACGCCAACTGCTAATGTTACACCCAATAGAATTAATGAGAACACGACCCACATTAGGTTCAACTATTAACGCCTCATAACGAAATTTCATTCTTAAAATTTGATAACGGATACACGAATTAGATGTAATTTATTCGATTTCCTTTAACCGTAAGCTCTAAAATCTAGAGACAACAATTAAGCCGATTGATGAAAATTTAAGATTTTAATGGTTTATTTTAAATTTATTCTATACTATTGAACATGTTTTTTTTAAACTAAATATCTCTGGTGCAAATATAGGATTAGACAAGGCTTACATTTATAGCATTGATTTCCTTATCGGATATCCAGAAAGGAATTAAAGGCCTAGAAACTAATAACTTATCTTAGATCTATAGTGTCCTTAATGCGAATTTTTCTTAATTTACAGATGCAATAGGATGGTTTTAATTGTTAAATTCTAATGAATCTGCGTACAGATTTTATCAACTTTTCGGTTTAATTTTAAAATTAAAGATAAAGGTTCCTTAAGATTTCATGCAATTTAATTTAGTTCAAAATGTATAGTCTATATTTTAACCAGTTAACTCGAGTAAAGATATATGTTATTAGGCCTATAAATATTACATTTTAATAGTGATTTCTCTACTAGAAGAAACAATAAATTGTACTTTTTAGAATAACAATGATTAGAACAATAGATAAACTGTTATATCGGAAGATTAAACGTAAACATAATCTATAAAAATGAGCAACATTTACTAATACACAATTTGAAATTTAACAGTTGAATTTACTTTAATTATGTAATATCTAGTTTCTAATTTTCTTATATTATTTATTTTAAAAGTAAATTCTGGTAACTCGAAGTTAAATTAAAATTCTTCAAAAGTCTCGCTGTATCCTGACGGAATGCGGAGAGAATTGTCTATAATATACTTAAGTAGAAAAATATGTAGACTTATATACTGCTGAACTTAATAATATTCAAGTAATATCCTTTTAATGGAATTCGGGATCGGCTTTCTTTAGCCAATAATTGGCGCGGGAGAATCGGGATAGGCTGTAGATAATGAAAACTCTTCAGTATTATAGAATTCGTGACGTTCCTCTGTAACTTTCTGTGAAATGCGAATTTTCAGTTTGTGTAAAGAAACTTTACACGTAGTCTAATGCAGTTCCGCTCTCGACTTTTGGCAAGTTTTCCTCTAGTTAATTATCCGAAATCTATTGAAGATAAATTTAATTGTATTTATAAAATAATGTAAAGTAATTATCGTTGAAGTTTCTTTCCGGTTGATAAAATGATGTTAGGCATTTATTCTTTTGTCATCAACGTCGCATTAGAAGTCTTTAGCTTAGCAATTAAGAATTTTATACTTTTATTTCAATATTTTTCTGAAATGTTTAAAGAATGTAAACTAAACAATTGTTGTTTTTCTTAGACTGTTATATCAAGACAAATATAAGCCAAAATAAGGAAATTAAAATGTTAATCTGTGTCGTCTTGACTTTATTCTACGAATTTCTTAAACTTTTATCCACATTGCCCTAAACATTTATTCAGTCTGAAATACACTAATTAAGTTATAACTTTTTGAAAAAATTTATAATATGTTTTTATAAAAAGTAAAATCTGGCATAAATCTTTTAAAATTTCAGAATTTTAGATTTGATTAATTTATGAATCCGTAATTATTATGCTACACGGTAAACTTCAATATCTGTATAATAGACTTTAACGTGTTAGTATAATAGACTAATTCTAGCGGCTTACTTAATCCAAATAGGATAATTTAAATGCCTAAAGATTGGATAAACAATACGCTTTAATCAGAATTATCATAAGTAAACCTAAAGAATTAATTTATCTTTTTTGGTTAAATAATTGTTGTCATGTGGAAGCAAAAGAAGTTTTATTAGACTTGTGTAATTCTTATAGGTGTATCTATGAATTCGTTTGTTCTACTAATCAATAATTTAATTTAATATGTTAAATCTTATCGCATTTTATTCTCCAAGTCAGTTAAAAATGTGAAGCATAACGTACTGGTACAGTACAGTACATAAACTACAGACAGAATAGCGCAATATTGAGGATATTAAAAGGCATTAAATATTATACGGATAATAAATTATAATCAAGTTGAAAAGTTCAAGATTGCGATCTCGTCGTCAATAGTAAGTTAAATATTCCAATTTTTAATATTTATAGTTTGTATATGGATTTTCTGAAATGAGAACATTGTATAACTCATTTCTGAAATGAGAACCGTGTTCTTATAAAAATTGATAATAATAATAGGATTATTTACAAAAATCGAACTTAGATTATTATAGCACTTATGCAAGAGCAAGATGGTCTAGGCCTATCTCTAGTTTAAATACATGATTTGGAATTATCACACCGAATATCGAATATCTTTATCGTTAAATCTATCGAATTAGGGCAATTCTCAGTTTGTTTCTTATATAAGCTTAAGGGATTTCGTTTATGAGCTTAACTCCTAATTTGTTCTAGTTACAGAAACTTGTCACGAATGGATTGTGGATTCTAGGATCAAACAATGGAACTTTCAAGGCCTAGTAGAATATGCAATCTTGTTTCCGATCTATTCGAGTACAGAGTTCGAATTAGATGGATAGTCCAAGTGTATATTTAAAGAGAGGAAAACTTAGATTTATAAGTAATGGGGGCGACCCAACAAGTTGAATTGATTTAAGCAAGAAGGAGATGAAAAGCAAAAGGCAGGATGGCTAACATGCTGTATTGATAATGCAGGCCGTTCCAGTAAAATATTTTTGAGGGATGGTCATTGCTACTATATAGTGACATTTGTTGCTTCGGGACAGAATGTAATTCACTGTATACAATCCATCATTTTTCCTTTCCGCAGTCCTAAGGACACTTGTCGCTTTATCACCGAGTTGGCCAAGAAAACGAAATAGCGACAAATGTAAATGATAAAGATAACTGACTTGTCGAAACTGTCAGCTAATCGTAATTTATAGTTTTGTTGAATGGTTAATGCGTCTGTTTGTCTCTCCCTGAATCTGAACTTTGCATCGAAGATTATTAGCTTTCTCTGTTGATTCTCTTCTAAAGATGTTATTGCCGGTTTCTGATTATAAGGCCATATTTCAAAAACTACAACTTTGTTATAGAGAAAAACACAAAAAAGTCAAAATGTTACTGAAGATTGCTTTTAACTAAATTCAAATGGAAAACTCAAAACTACACATTTTAGCATACAGTTCAATTATTTTACTCATAACTTTGGTGTCTGGACTTTTATCAATTTTCATTTTGCAGATTTAGGAATTTATGGTTTGTTTTTTTATGAATAAAATAAATCTATTTTATTTATTGGCCAAGCTCTTCAAATTTCCTAAAACATTAGTTTAGAGCGCTTTGGATAATATATTTAGGCTATAATAAGAGCGTTAAGATTTACACGCAGTTTAGTGAGAATTATTTAAGATTTAAGCAAAGACTTTTATCAAAAGAGTTCATAAAGCTGCAGTTTTGAAACAGCTTTTTATTTTAGAAAAAACACTGTACGAAGCAGAAAGTTTCGTTGCACTGAACCAAGAACATGTTAGGAAATATGTAGGATGAAAGTAGATGCATATAGCGAAGCCTTTATGAGATTATTTAACAATGTGGTTTTCAGTGATGGAAATGGTTATCCGATTCGAGTAGACCCATAAGACTTCATATATGATTTGTAAGAAGATATGCGAAATGGGACTAGTGGGATTTTGCATTTCAAAATATGTGTAGCGTCATGTTATTATCCATTTTGAAGAGATTTCGTCAAAATCTTATTGATAACGTTTACCATTCAACATAACGTACACTTAGGAATTTCACAAAAACATCAAAACAATAATTTTTGCAACTTTTGATTTTCTTGATTTAAAAGTTATTGTTAGATAATTTTTAATATTAAGTCTAAAACAGTTTTCAGATGAATAAAAGATATTTATTTTGCTCACTAGGTTTCTGTGGGACCGGTAGAGCTTTTGTCTGGACCGACAATAGTATTGTCTGAAATAGAGGAACTGCTCTCGTCCACCCCCTGTTGGCACCTTGTCGACTCGAGGCCACAGAGTTGTCCCTGCAACGGTTGCGGCCTTCGAGGGGAGATCCCACAAATATTAACGATGAACAATCCGGACAGAGCCCGGTGGGGAGTCTGATGGGGCTATGGACGGTTTGACAAGTTGGTTGCTTTACTTTCTAATCTGACAGATTTTAAATGTCGAGTTGTGGATCGTTTCCTAGATTACAGTAAATTCGGGATTTCAGGAGTTGCATCCCTCGTATTGACAATCTTGTCGAAATAGAGACGATCTCTTAGCCATGTTTACAATGACGTCAGTAGTGTTCTCCACTCGTTTCCGTTCTTTCCTTCCGCTTTCTTCTCTCTTTTGTGTGACAAACGTATAGTAGCATAGTTAGAAGTAGATAGTTTCGAACAAAATGAAAGACAGTCTCGTTAGGAAAAACACTTGGATGCTCTGCAGAATGCGACATGATTGCTTACAAAATAAATTTCAGGCTAGGATAGTATGTTCAGAGGTTACTCACAAGTTAACTAAGTATCTAAAATAAAAATAAGAACTAAAATTGCTTAAATTGGTCTAAAGAGCATTAGAATTGCATAATAAATTATTTGTAGGCTGCTACGTGAATGAATTTCATTTGAAAATTAGATATTTTTCGTAGAAAATACATCAAAACTGTTTTATTTTGATATATTCTACTATTTAATTTCAAATCATAAAAATATTATCTCAATGTATGTATTTTAAGCGGAGCGAGTAGAAATATATTAATATTCAATATTTAAACCAATGATAATCGTAGACTTCAAAATATTTTACTATTTATTAGAATTATAATAGTGGTATAACTAAACGCTTCACATAGAAGATGCTCCAAAATTTTATTTTTACTTTATAATATTTAATAATAAAGCCTGCTTGTATTATGATTATTATTAAGTATCGCTGTTGTCAACTTTCAGTTCAAGCGATAATGTTCATGACAATAAAAATAGAATTCCTCCAAATCATTTCTTGTTTAATTGAAAGATCGTAAATCAAATCCCGGTTTCAGAATTAATATATTTATCATGAATTGTAGATAAGTTCGCTTATGGGTCTTAATTAAAACAAACTTATAATTAGACTTTTTATTTTAAAGAATTTTTAAATTTGATTAATTCATTTAATAAATAAGTTATATTTCTATTATGTAACTAACTAACAGACAAAATTACAAATCTATATTGTTATACTTACAATCTTTTATGATTAAAAATAACTGCAAGTGATATTTAATCTAGTAGTAACCCACGAAATTTCAATCATGGGCTATGTGAATTCGAGCTTAGAACAAATTATTTAGAGAAAAATAGTAAAGCATAAATATTCTAAAATAGATTTATATGTAATAAATTTACAGGCATAGACAAAGCTTTTTGCTTTTTTTAAATAAATCTATATTTTAACTAATAAACTGTAAATCGTTAATAATTAGATTGTTTTAAAGTGTAGTCTGTTGTTTAAACTATATGTAAACGAGTGCATTTTATATGTGATTAACACATTTACAGCACTATAGTTATCTGTAAAACTTATTTTAATGGATTACTTTTACGTAAGGAATTTAATGATTCTATAAATATGCTCTTTCAAATTGTACTCTATATCTTAATTAACAATCTTTGTTATTGGGAAAACAATATAAACTCTAAATCAAAGAAACCTAAATAATTTACGTTATGACAATGTAATATACATATAATATACATAAGTTTATTAAAGTAGGTATACAAGCGCAAATTATTTTGTCTCATTGTTTTTTCCTGTGTGCTTATGAAGTTTAGTCTTAATTTATGCAAAGTTATTCCATGACCGATTTTATTAATTTTAGGCATACTTAAGCATCTTATTTATGATTTAATTTAACTACTCTATCGAATATATGTTAATTTAGTTAGTTAAATTCAAATTATAAATAGAAATTAAATTAGGCTTAATTTTAATTATTAATCATTTTATTTATTAGAAACAATTAAAATAAATGATTTATTACATTAGTATTAAATTCTATTTTCACTTTATTTACCAAGTTAAACGGACATATGCATAAAAATTACAATTTGTAAGCTACTGTACTGTACTGTACTGTACTGTACGTCGCCTTTAAAATTATCAACGTGAGCGACTGCATATAAATTGACCATTTAGCTCAGGATACCGAACTCAATTCCCTTCATTTTGATTCTAGTCCAAATCTATTAACCTTTTTGTAATTTTGATAATACTAACTTCTACTTTCTAAATATTTTTAGATAATAGGCTCTGTAAACTGATCTAGTTAAAATTAGACTTTGGTTAAATATGGTCCAAACTTGTAATTAAAGAGCATTCCCGCAGCTCGATTTAGGGAATGAAAACGCCAACGAGTGCGGATCGAAAGCCAAGCATCTCTACATGTGTTCTATCGTTTATAGAGAGATTAGGTCTAATTGACATATGTGTCTTAGTTTTCCTCCACCAGAGGGAAGCTGTCACTATGAGTTCCCACAGGCAACTACCACGGGGTATATCAATAAAAATTTGGCACTTTTCCAACCAAGGATGAAAAAGATAATCCATATCCAAAATTTATCACATTCCCCATACCTATATCATTAACCTTTTACGAGACTAAAAAAAATTGAACAAATGGGTAGATTACAAAAAAGTAAATAATAATCATTCGAGTTATAAGAATTACTTTTAACTCAAAAGATTTGAAACAAGATTTGAATTTAAGAAAGCATTCCAGCAGAGATTTTTACGTCAGAATACATTATTTAGTTTCCATACAACGTTTTCTCAGTTGGTAATAAAGTATTTCGGGGATATTGTGACCAACAGAAGCCTCCACTCCCAACGTTCTGTCGAGTCTTCTAAAAGACTGTATTCAGAGTGATAATTTATGGACGGTTAACCTCGCTCATTGACCACATCGGCAGTGTCCAAGTACCGGCCCCACACCCTCCTACATAGTCCTCGATGTTGTGTTTGTCTGCAGGAACGTAACCGATACTATGTGTACTACTGAATGAAACTGTCTTAATAGAAAAGTATTCTTAACAGTTGGTACGCGATATTTTTTTACTCATTCTGTTTTAAACGAAGAACTTCGATTTAGATAAGACAATTCGTTAATAAAGGTTAAATCATTTTGGAATTGTTTTAAGCTAATACAATCAAACTCGATTAATAAAGATTTTCAGATTTTCTTGGAAAGAGCTGAAGGATTTAGTTGCTGTAAAATTACTAGGTCTATAAAGTGAGATTAAGAAACCATTCGTGTGTTCATCATTATCGATATTTATCCACGCTCGAATACAATTTATCATGTAATATTTTATAAATGCAGTAATATTTTACCAATTCATGCTTCGCAGTGCGTTTAGATTATGCCTATATGGTTTTGAACTTTGAAAACATATTTCAACAGTAATTCTGATATTTTATATTCATTCCGTATACCATTCATACTTTAAGGTTTTTATGCGATGAGTGGGATTTTTACTAAGCAAGTCTATGTATAATAAGCAAAAATTCAACTATACAGACTATAAGATAAATGTTCTATTAACTTCGCACATTCAATGTGTATACCTATTTATTCGAAATTATAATTCTAATATACTTAAGTTAAAACAGACTAATATAGCCTAAATTAAAATTAAAACAACAAGTTCAATGATAAAATAATTTAATAAAGTAAAAATATGATTTTTATATTAAATATTAGGCCTAAATATCCAAACTCTCACATTTATATTATTTGTTTTCTTCTAGGACTTCATTCGGAGTCTGGAATAAAGATGTGATGATTTGCTCCTAAACTACATCTGCTATCGGGATCTGTAAGAAAATTTACTTAAAAAAATAAAGTTATTTTTTAAATACTTCCTAATGCTTATTTTTTTAATACTTAATTTTATTAAAATTAAACTTATAATAATCTATAATACAGTCGACACTAATTTCTATCATTAAGTGAAATGTAAGCTTTTGTTTTAATAACATAATTTACAAGTTTTTCCATTGATATTAATTTAAGAATATTTAAATAATTAATAAATAATTTATGGATTTTTCTATCGGACACAGCTGCTGTTTTATTTAATAAAAATTTATCGTTTATAGAAACTTTTTATAGAAAATTAAAATTGATGAAGTCATTAATTTTATTATTACAAATAAATTTAGCTTCTCAAGTCTGATGGTTGACTCTTAAACTTAGTTTTCTTCCTTACTGCTAATGCTATTTACATAAAGGATTCACGATTCCTAAAGATAAATTAGACAATTTACATGTGTGCCTATATAAAATAGCATACATATAATTTGAACTTGTTTACTTTCCATTAGTGGCATTATAGTATAAACTTTGCAATTATTTTGCGGATATAATAGAGACAGGGAATATAAAATCATAAATCAATGATTAGTTTAGTTATAGAAAATGTAGGCTATTCCCTAGTTAAATCTCTTTGTATATCAGTAAATATAAGCGATTTGTTCCCTATTGGTAAGGTATATAAGTTTACTATATAGGCTATTTCATGATGATAATTACTAACTCATTAATAAACAACTGATTTATTATATTAGCATAAACTAGCTAAAATTGATATTGAAAGTAGTCCCATATGCTGTATGCAGATTTAATTTACCTTCATTAATTTATTCGATATAAATTGATAAGTTTCTAAACGAAGAATTATAAATTGAATCCTAAAATTAAACTTTGTCTTAAAACTTTTTAAAAAATCGAAACAAACTCGTGTTAAAATAATAGTTTAATATTTGTTTTTTAAGCCTATAAAAGTTTTATGAATGTATATAAAAACATGCACCATTAATAAGCTGAAAACTAATTTAATTTCGTAGATTTCAAATATATTTATCCTTAATTAATTAGGCTAATAAAAATTTAAAAATTAATAAATCAAACTTCGGCAGAGAGCAAAAATTAAAAAGCTACGCTCCTCGCAGTTTTAATTAAAATATTTACTCATAAACACGTCAGAGAAGAAAAAACGCACGCGCTTCGGTGAGAGAGAACGAGAGAGAGCGAAAGAGAGAGAGAAAGAAAGAAATAGGAGAATTTATTAGCACGTGTGTATTATTGATAAAAGCAGCGTTTGAAAAATGCATTTCTGTACATTTTTCAATCAACTCGATGTCTGGCAGATAAGCGGCGACTAAGGTAAAGGCTACCTACCTGAAGCGACGAAGAGAGAGGCATCGTGCACGGCCACTACTACAGGGGAGGTACTGAGTGGCGTCAATATTTCCCACCAGATGTCGCAGTGAGTCTACTGTTGACTGAATAGAAAGCTTTGGCAGGAAGGAAGGTACTGATTTCTGCTATTGTGGAGTTGAATACGTGTTGTGAAATAAGATCCGGTTACAATGCACCATTTGTGGCCAATACAGACTTTGTCAAACTGGCCAGCAACTAAGGCGTCGATTCTGACAGCTACTTATTGGATTTCATTATTATTCCTAAATAACTGTTAGTTCCCCGCTTGTTTCCCTTTATCGTCGTCTTCCACCACGTTTCTTGAACGTTTATTTTAATAATCCGAACCCATCGATTATGTATCTATCACTTTCGCTAGTTATCTACTCCATTAATGGATAACTATTCAAGGTTTCGACTAATAAAAGCCGATGTTAGTAAGTTATACAGCTACTGAGAACAAACTACGGCTTTGTGAACTATTAAAAATTTAGCGTTTTCAAAGATAATCGTCTAGTTGTTAAATAGTTTACGAAGTTTGATAAACTATTTAGGAGGAGAAGTAATTTTAGTTAAAGGTTGTTTTAATAGTGTAGCCGTTAATGAGATTTGCAGTGTTTTTAGTGAAGAATATGACATTAAAGCTATTCTATAATTCTAAAGCGTAAATATATAAAATTGTTTTTCTTAAAGTTGGAGATGTTGAAGTGATACGCTATGAGTTTGAAAAGGGTCGCGCAGCGCCTTTGCAAGAAAATAATGTGTGTAAAGGAGAGTGATATAATTGTCAACATATTTTTAAATAGACAAAACGGTACATAATGAAATATAGAAAAATATTGTTGTTAGGCGTGCAAATTTCTCACACCTTGCTACAAAGAAGACTTTCCTTTAGTTGGTGTGTTCGGCCACTCCCACTTACTCAGACTTACTCCGGCGTTGGTCCAATCCGAGTGGATCTGGTCGAGGAAGATGCTGGCACGCTATTGGCTGGAGTGAGCGCGCGGTCTGGCTATTGTCAATCAATAACGCGTGGACTGGTCGCGAAGTTCCCCATAGAAAGAGAAGTGTGGCGGTCCGTTCGACATTCAGTAGACGATCTCGTCTCTTGTTGGCTCATAGTTCTGTTTTAAAACAAAGTTGGTCGAAAGTTTTGAACTGAATCGCTCTATCACGTTAACAATAGTGTAGATATGTCGACACCGAAGTAAGAGCAAAAGGAGCAACAGTGACGGCGAGCCCGTACAGCGATCAGGCCTACTGGCGTCCTCTTCCCTTTCCGTTCCCAGCCGCCACGGACACCAGCATCATTAGGCCTAGCAGTAGTTGTCCTTGCCAGCTGTGCAGTAGCAGCAGCCAGCCGGTGGACCCCCAGCCCCAATCTGCTGCTAGCCCGACTAGTCTGGCCCCCATGGACCGCGACTATGGTGCCTACCATTACAATCTGCACACCAACAGCACCCCAACGTCGGGTGCCGGCATGGAGAGTGACTTAAAGGCTAATTCGGGCCTAGCAACTCATCATCATCCTCAGACGGCTCTGTCCGTCGTGTCCAGCCAGCCTACCACTCCCAATTCAGTGGTAGAAAGTGGCGGAACTACTACGGGCAATTCCGCTAGCAAGAAAGACCAAGATCGAGTTAAGAGGCCAATGAATGCATTTATGGTGTGGTCACGTGGTCAGAGGAGAAAAATGGCTCAAGAAAACCCAAAGATGCACAATTCGGAAATCAGCAAACGACTGGGTGCCGAATGGAAGTTATTGTCGGAAGCCGAGAAGAGGCCGTTCATAGACGAGGCGAAACGCTTGAGGGCGGTACACATGAAGGAGCATCCTGACTACAAGTACAGACCTCGAAGAAAGACCAAAACTCTCATGAAGAAAGACAAATATCCGCTAACAGGCGGACTCTTGCCTGCCGACGGCAGGAACACGGCGGCCGCAGCGGCCGTGCAACAGGTGAGTCGTGACATTTACCCCATTAACGGTTACATGCCGAACGGCTACCCAACTATGATGCACGAGGCTTATCAACAACACGCGGCTGCAGCTGCCAGCTATAGTAGCCAGATGGCCGGTTATCCCCGCTACGATATGACAAGTCAGATGCACACTCCGATGACCACCGGTTCGACCATGTCGATGCCTTATATGAACGGAACTTCAAGTTATAGCATGCCAATGTCGACGGCTTATACTTCTGCTGGTGGACAGATGACAACGTCCGCAAACATCAAGTCGGACCCTAGCCCACCGTCGGTCGGACAAAACTCTCCCAGCGCTATGGCTGCTGCAGCTGTGGCGGCAGCAGCCACAAGAAGGGTCGGTTGCACAACCGACTTACGGGACATGATCAGCATGTATCTACCTGGAGAATCTGGTGATCCTAGTCTGCAAAGTCGACTACAAATGCAAAGTCACCATTATCCGCAGACTGAAAGTGTAGGAGCATTGAGTGCGGGGACCATGCCACTGACCCACATGTAGCTAGTTAAGTGACTTTGAACTGGAACAGGCTATGTTGTACGTGTGCCGGTTTTCATAATAACCCACCACCCAGCACGTAAGTAATGTCTACCCATTCATCTGTTCGTTTCTAATGTGGCTGGGAGCTAATTTTAGTTTCTAGAAAACTTGGTGCACCCCAGTACTATGTAAGAACTTGGTCTCTGAGGGTAGTGGGTGCAGAGAAGAGGGCTCCCGTACCTGAGTTTAGTCTAGTCGGCTGTGGACGACACGTTGTTCCATTCTATGTGTCAAGTGTTGTCGTGCGAGAAGTGACCGATATTTGCACTGTAGTTGTCCCTCTCTCTGCCTCCCATCTTGTACATAATGTCGCACGTTATGTAGTTAGCAGATGCCACACGGTTTGTTAGTTCATTGCAAAATAAATTGACAGAAATCTGAAGAAAGAGTTTCAGCCAGTGTCATCTTCCTTTTACTAAAAGTGAATCAGGAAACATATTTAGTTTTAACACACTTGCAAATAGTCCAGCATGACACATCTCAACCGTCAGTTTTAGGTTTTTAATAGGCAATAAAAATCGACTTTCGAATAAAGAATCAAACATAATCATCTCGGGCCATTAAACCTTTTTACATGGGTTAAATTTTTTTTTCTAAATTTAAATCGCCCTAAAACATCTTATTTACATGATTTTTTTCTTCACAAATCTTCTCATATTTCTACCGTCTTTAGAGGGATACAAAGTGATAGACAAAAGCGTGCACAGGGGAAACAATCGCGGGAGAACTCTAGCCCAATAATGTCTATGGGGGAATATATTTAGCTGACGTGGATGGAGGGGGAGACGCAGTAATTGATCGTTCTCTGTTGAACCGCAGAAATTAATGAGCCGCGAAAGGTGAAAAAAGTGTCCTATACGCAAGTTTAAACAGCGTATGGGGGCGACAGAATGTTTTAAGCTCCATAACCATAATAAATGCGGCCAAATTAAAGTATAGGATATATAAATATTTTTTTTTTCCTCCCGAGTCAGGAATGATCCCATCTAATCCTCTTAAACCCAATTTAATATTAATCTAAGTACTTATATATTGCAAAATAAACTTTTATCTCATTCAAAATCAAAGCAAGAAAAATCGGGTCGATCCGCGATTCCAAAATTTATTTTGATCAACAGATGACTTTATGGATTTATTCGAGGAATGATTAAGTGCATCTTGTCTCAATATCTAAGTGGGGAAAATAATCATAGATAAAACCTTTAAACGGAGCCAAAGAGTAAAATTGTATAAGCATAAATCGACTTTTTTTTTTTTAATAAACTTGAAATTATGCAAAACATCTAAAAATCGATACTTGAAATAATTTCACATGTACTCCGACAATATAGGCTATTCATTAGATGTAGGCCTAATTTATCAGATCTCGTTTAGCATAAGGCCCAGTTTTAGAAGTCGAAAATTGCTATTCGTGCCGAAAGTTATTCGTCTTTCTAAAGATCATTGACCCGTTGTGATCCGTTGGTGAAATGCCTACGACCCAATCTTGCTATTGTTATTACTTAAGTTTCAAACAATTTTTAATCTCTTAATTAAATTTTTATCAGTTAAAAGCTAATAAAAAAAGCGGAAAAGTACAGAATTCGCCATAATCATGTAGCAGGTTTCAAAAACAGAATAGATTTAACAGTCTATGTCATCTCAGATTCTGTAAAGAGATTTATTTCTGAGTTATTTCAATAATTTAAAAAATTAATTATTTATTCTAACTTTTTTTATTTAAAAAGTTTTAGATCAAATCATTCAAAAGCCAATTTTATGACATCACGTTACGGTATTGCACTTTTTATCACGAGAATACTTTTATAAAGGTTTTACATAGTAGATGTTTTTTTTTAATTTTAAAAATTGGCAGGATTAAAAAAAGTAATTTATAACAAGAGGAAAAATAGGATGCGAGTGGGTCTACATCCTTTATGCGGATGGGACCGGTAATAAATTGCGCACGAGACAAAATAACGGATGGCCAAAAGGATGTAGTAAAGTAAGGGGAATCCGTCTTGCAGCTTCGTCCTATCGTAAGAGGTGTTCCGCCGTCGGCCCGGATCCCAGCTGTCTCTATGTACAGGGTTAGCTGCAGGCAATGTTAGCTTTTGTAATGAATTTATTCTGCCTCATATCTCCCCACCTCATCTGTAACCGACTCGACCGAGTCGATTCCCTCACTTTCGGATCGTTCGCCTATCACCCTAATATCGCGTTTTAAAATAGGCGTGCATCTATCAATAGTTCATAATATAGTCGAAGCCTGCTACTTTAAAGCCTATAGGCCAAGTTTATCTCACTCGAATAGTAACTACAATTCAGAAATTGGAGAAATCCAAGCTTTATAAATTTATCTGTACAGTACATATTTAAGAATTAAAATCGTGTATTATTTCGAAATGTATCGAATTCGTTAAAAGCAAATTTGTATAATAAACTATTGGAAACGTGCGCGGCTGAAATTTAGCTTTTAATATTGTTTTGCAAATTGTATACAATTTGATAGGATGCAAATTTCAAATTTAATCACAGCTTTGAAAGTGATGCTTAACTATCATTTTCAACTTATCAGAAAATTGCTTTATCGACAACAGTATTCTAAAATTGTTGTCTCCGGTAAAATTATCTTCCTTCTATATTGGATGAAATGTGCCGTTGTGTAACGCGTGATGTTATTCTGACGCTATATTGAAATATATAGACTATTATGACTAATTTTGTTTTCTCGCAGCTCGATTTAGGCCTGGTAGTCCATATAGTGGCTATAGACTATAAGGAGATGGATTGAAGAGGCGATCGTGTTTCGTTTCAAGACTCACTCGAGAAAGAAAAACGGACTTTGAATGAAGTATAAGAGGAGTGGATGTATTATTCTGTAAGATTTCTAAAAGTCGACTCGCTTATTCGATGAGGCAAGAAACCACGCCTGATTTTAACTTTAGAGTTTCCTTCGTCTTTTATAAATGATTCTCGAAACGAACTAGCACAAAGAACTTGGACATGTTTAGAATAAGGTTTTTATATTGGAATATTCCAAGAGACGATAGGTCCACTCTTTTGCCCCTTCGTTCTTTTCAAGAAAGTTTTTTTCTTCTTCTTTTTTCTTACTTTGTTACGAATCATCTTGTAAGATCATTTTCTTATAGAAAAGCTCGGAACTGTAGGCCTTCACAACCAAGGCTTTCCTTTATATTCTTCTATTGCCAATCTTTTCTTTCTTTCCTCCATTTCCGGATTCACTCTGCTTATTTTAAAACCAGCGGTGATGAAGTTAAAATTATTCAAATGGAATTTATATTGAAACATTTATTGGATTAAGCCGGGAAGTATTGAAATTGTTTACATATTTCACAGTAGAAAAGAGAAACGAAAAACTATTTTATTTCGGAGATTGTGCCACGTATTATTATAACTAGAACTTGAAAATGGTTAACGAATTTTACACGGCTGTCTGCATGCATGATTTTTTTCGTTAATAACTCGAAATTTTATCAAACCAAATCGTCCAATTCCACGTCTATATTCAATAATTTACTCTGTGGAGAACAATAGACTTATACGATTCTGTTTTTAACGTCGCAATTTCCTTGATCAATCTAAATAGGCCTATATAGACGAATACCTAAAACTAAGAATAGAGTAAATTATGTATAAACTTATCACGAATAAATTATATTATTGAAATTTATTTATAAATGTAGACAAGTTATTGATACTTTTTCGGATAATGAGTTGAAGTGTTATCATGTCAACTTTATTTTCAGTCTGTTTTGGATTATTAAAGATATAAATCATTTTTCTTGTCCATTATTATGTAAGCTATATTCTACGTAGGCCTAGACTGGACCGGCATTAGAAATAAGTTAGAAAGAGAAATCAACATATTCGATTTATTTCGAGATGAATAAAATAACAAAAATAATTTTTTCTTCGTTTAGTAGTATGAAACAAAAAGGTAGATTCTACAGTATGCATAATAAAAGCCTCTTAGAAACAATGCATAGTTATGATTGTAATAATAAAGTAATTTAATTTCCTCCACAACCTTTAATTTAATTGAAAACATACTGTAAAGAATAAAATTTAATTCCCTCTAAAAAATTTATAGTTCTTAATATGGGGAGAGATAACAATATTAATGACGAGCCAGGGAAGAGCATCAGTTAAATTGCCATTTTCCGTCATAACTTCAGTTAAACCTATTTATCAAAATGGAAAATATTAGAAAAGCCCAAGAAAAATTCGTCGGAATTCGGTTTAATAAAAGTCAACTTAAAAGTTTAAGCTGTTTTCTATCCTCTTCTGCCAGGAAGCGGAAGATGAACTTCTCTTTTTCACTCGCCAATGGGTAAATTAATATCCACTTTAATTAATAATTAAATAGCATAGTATATATAGTTCTAGTTGTTCCTGTGGCAGTGCATTAAACTTTTTCGAGAATGTTACGCGAGAAATAGCATTAGGGAGCTTTCGAGACGAGTTCCTTCATGCCGTGAATGGGTTTGAGTTCCGAAAAGAAATGCGGTATTTGATATTAAAATTAATTTTTATGTAACTTATTCTAATAATAATCTATGATTTCGATTAATGTAATGCAACAGTTCACAGGTGGGTAGCGGTTTGCAATGGTCCAACATTTGCTCAGCGAGCGTGGATCCTGTAACAGAAAAATATTTCTAATTCCATCAGTCAGGTGTGGGGATGTAGAAGGAGTATTGTCGCATGACTGACCAGACCGTCCGCTACCTAGGATGTCCGCTGACGGGACGGGAGCCTAATGACTTCCGTTCGATGTCAATGGTGATAGGAAGTAGGACTAGAACGGCAGAAGGCAATTATACTCACGCTAACTTGTCTGGCTTTTTTTTAACAACTACTCCCCTACTTCTCTCGCTCTAATTCCATTTTCGCATTTTCCCTCTTTCAATCAGCCGCATTGGTCAACAAAATGGAATAGTTTCTGGCTGCACATGTAAAGATAAATCTGGAATTTATTCTTTTGCACGGATATTACGTGGAGGAGAAAGGTCGAATCTATTTTCTCTCAGGCCTGTGCAGAGATTGATTCAATTCTCCTTTAACATTGGTATGGAAGAGGCCTAGCAGGAAATTCCACTGTGAATGGGCTTGTACTCGTTTGATTTATTTTAGTAGAATATCTTATTTAAAAGAATATATATATATATATACATATATATTATAAGATTGTAAGATTGTTTTGGTAATTTATTCCTTGCCCGGATTGTTTTGGCTTCCGCGTTGGGGTAATTAAAGTTCATCTACTTTTCGCAGTAAAACTCTCGCCGCGAGTTTTTAATAAATGTAATATGAAGTGATAATGTTTATTTGTATTGTTTACTACTTTGTGTATATTTTATTCTCGTTTGTTGCGTCTGT